TGTGTGTGTGTGTGTGTGTGTGTGTGTATATCTATACTACATATATAACCATTTAAGCACTTATCTTAATTACAAACAACAAGGCACAAAGTACTGCCATTTTATGCATAAATTTCAAAAAACTCTTAAAAGACAAATTATAAAGCATAATGTACAACTTGTTGATGCATTTACTTTAACCTCTCCAACATCACCACCAAATAAGAATGCTTCAACTTTTACTTTCTCATTTCAAATTCAAAATTCAAAATTAAAGCTTCAATCTTTTCTTCCATATTTCAACACGAGTCGAGAGAGAGTTTGAAGAACAGCATGAGGCGGCTTTCGATTTGAAGATCTGGTATCCCTCTTTCTGGGTTTGAAGAACAGCAGAAGAACCGCACCACCGTCCAGAGACGATCGAAACGGATTCGGTTTCTTGGTTCGTGGTAATCAATCGATGACCGTGAACGAATCGTTTTTGCTTGATCCTGATGACTGTGCATATAACCAATCGAAACGATTTCAGACTTCAAATGACCGAGACGACTGTACATATAACCAGTTTTGGAGTATTCATTTTCAACAATGATTTCCCTGAGGTATTGATTTACATTTTGTGGCTCCCTAGCGATTTCTCTGAGGTATGGTTCATTTTTATTTCAAAACCCTAGCCATTTCATGGTCTTGATTTACGGGGTTCTACAGCTTCATCTCTGTTTTACGCTTTCTTTTTCTTTCTACCTCATATAGCCGAATTTTACACTTGTTTGTGTTGGTGCTTGTTGTAGCCAAACTTTCATACGTGTGTGTGTGTCTGTCTTTGGCTATGAAAACATATCTATGGAAGTTGTCTATTTCCTTTTTGCTATTATCTTTGTTTTCATCATGTAGGAAATGGATACTTTAATGCTTATCAGTTCTAAAATGACTTCATTTTGATTGTTTGATTCAACTTTCAGTTTTATTTTCACAAAATGCAGGTTTTTGGTTTGTTGATCGGTTTAAGGATGTGCTCATAGTTCACAGATTCCATCTCATGCGGTACGCCATCTTTTTATGGTTTTGCTGTAAAACCTAATGGGATTGTTTTGGTTTCAAGGTCTAATCTGTTGTGGATAGCTACGTTATACAGAGTGACCAAGATATTATTTAGTCTATTTTCTTTACATGTGCTTGTTTTTTAAATGAAGATGATTTCTTGGTTATCCGTTTTAATTAGTTCTTGGTGACTATATACAATTCAGACACTGTAAATATGGACAGTATCAGGGAGGTAACTAGAAATTGAGTATAAAATCACATGTGAATCACACAAATTTGGCCACGACCTGAGGTAGCGGGCTACGTCTTGCACACCCTTTTGACCTGCTGTTGCTGCTGTCGTCATGCCAAAAGAGGCAGAACCCACTGTTGTTGCTGTCGTCAAGCCAAAAGAGGTTGAACCCACTGTTGCTACTGTTGTTAAGTCTAAGCCAAAAGAGGTTGGACCTGCTGTTCCCGCTATCGTTGAGCCATTGCTTTCCAGGTATCATCAACTCATCTCTTCTTGCATCATCGATTTTTTTTCTATTGTAAATCTTAGAAATCGTACTAACAATTTCGTAATACACATCTTTAATATAGTCAGACTATTATGTTCCTAAGATTGAATTTAATTCAAACCATCACCCCTTGCTTCTGATCTTAAAGGGGTTTAAACTATTTGATCATTTGATATGTTGATGGCAATCCTCTAACCAATGAGGTAATTAAGTTCTCAAAACTCTTTTAAGAATAAATGGTTTCTATTAGTTTTTGTGTTTTCATTCATGGTATTAAGTCTAATCTTTTTGATGCGGTGCATATGTTCTTCTGTTTTCCAGAAGCTGAAAGTAAATCTAGCACCAAGAGAAATCACGTTGGTGCCACTATCGATGATAGTCAGGGTATTACAATGTTGGTAAAAAAACAAGTCATCTTTCATCGTCATTGATGATCTTAATGTACTTCCTGTGTTGCCCAATACAACCATCATACTCCTTAAAATTCTCTTGGTCTTGGAAACATTGATTTGCTGGATGAAAGGACCATGCATTTTGGCATAGCAGAGGTAATGTTTTTATTTATTTATAGCGGTTTAGATCATTTATTAAGAATTTATCGTTTTGGCATAACAGAGGTAATGTTATGCCGTATATTCTCTCCAACTATTTTCTAGGATTACTTGAATTAGAATGCGCTAAAAAGATCGACTTATTTGACATATTCTCACCAACTATTTTTGCACCAGATTTTGATACAACAGGGGCTTTTTGCCAATTTTGTAGGGGCCGTCTTGAATTGAACTAAGCAGCTATATTATCTTCTGTCTGGTGGTTCTTTTTGTCTTATCTAGCAGCATTTCTGCATATGGTATGTTAGGAATTTGCACCTTTTGAAGATGTCATCACCATGTTGGTTTGTACACGCTCCTAATAAGCATTTCAATTACAGATATTTAATTTGAGTATGTTGTTTGTCGTTTGCCAACAGGACTTGATTATGAATACAAAGCCATCAATCTGTTCAAACGAGAGCAGCACAGTCCTGGTAACAAACTAAAATTGTTCAATTTAAGGGTTATAATCTGAATTAGCATGTTAGCTGAATAAATGTTTGTATCTTTCCAAATAACTTTCTTGGAACAAACTAAAATTGTATCTTTCTTGACCCCTGCCTGCGATTGATGTTGTTAAGCATTGGGCCATAGGGCTTGTGTTTCTCTCTTTTATTAAGCATTCTTTCTTGACCCCTTGCTTATGTTTTGAAGAGGTTTAAATTGGTTTGTCGTCTTTTGTTTCACTTCATCCATGTAGGACTAATATAACCTGCTGTAATATAACACCCCTGTACCTGTTGTTCTAAATCAAAACTTTGCTTTCTGATAATTTGCTTTCTGAATCCTTACTTTCATGTATAACACCCCTGTACCTGCTGGGATGCATAACCATTTAGTCCATAATTAAGATATTGACCTAAATGGTTATATAGAACAGGCACATATTATAGAATCTGTTTATATGCAGAATAGGCACATATTACATATTCTATGCAACAGATTCTAAAGTCCTTTCTTAATGGTTATGCATCCCCTGTACCTGATGTTTTAAATCAAAACTTTGTTTTCTTGACCTAAGCTTTTTTCTTGACCATGAGAGAAAATATTTATAACAATCATTTATTATCTTAAGACAGTAGCCTGACCTCTATTTATAACAATTATTTCAAGTTGTAGAGTAATACAATTCAATGGGCATATAACCAAACCAACAGGGCTGACCTCTATTGACCTTTGAAGCCGACATATTTTCCTTTTCAACAGTTAAGTGCAGTTTTCATAGATTGATTAGAAACAGCTGTTAGGATTTAAGAATCTGCAGTTTTCAACAGTTAGGTGCAATTTTTATAGTTAACTGCAGTTTTCATAATCTGTTACATAATCAGTTGTAATTAGTTTTAACGTCGTTCAAATAATTAGTTGTATAGATGGCTATTAGGATTTACATCTCTTTAATGCTGTTAGCATTACTCAATCCCTCAATATCATACAACACAACTTTAAAGACAACCTTCGGCGGAGAAACGATATGGTGGCACGTGCCACCGGTGGCACGTGCCACCCATGGCACCTATGTAGGTCCGCCTATGCTCAACATTCTGTTATAAGTCGATTCTGCTGTGAATTTAAAATGTTGGTGGCTGCCGTTGCTGAACATTATATTAATGGTGTCTTTTAACAGGTTGGGTCATCGGAGCGTAAAAAAAGTGTGGATTACGCTTTAGAGAGCATCCGTAACATCAGGGAAGCCCTGTCGGGGCTATGGGAATCGGTGATGAAGTCGAAGGATGTTTGCGATTCGCAGAAGATTGCAATCGAGACTACTGTGAAAGCTTAGACATGATGCATGGGAGTGTTATTCTTCTAACCTTTTATGGCTCTAATATTGAAGATTCCAATTTCAACAATCAACTTTGTTGTTACCGTCTTTGTATTAATGTGTGAATTTTAAATGTTGAATGTGTAAATTATGAACTTCAAAATCGTTAAGAATTCTCTTGTTATAAGTTTAAATTATAGTAAATTACAAATATCATCCTACGGTTTCTCTAATTTTTTGGAAGTTACAAGCACCGTTATTGTGGTTTGTAATTCCCTTGTTTCTTTTTTCTTCTTTACATTAAGTGGACCACATGTTGGCCAAGGGAAATTTGGTAAAATTGCATTATCTCAGTATACAAAGGTGGAGATTCAACGGTGATGGTGTTGTAAGTATTTAAAAAAAATCTCCTTTCATCGATCCTCTGACTCTTAGAAATCCAATACGTTTGCAATTATTTTTTTCATTCGATCTTGTTAATATACCGTATTAACCTTCAACTTTATATAATAGTTGACTTGTAAAATAACCACACAAACTTATGATTCAAGGTCAAACTAATGTTTCAGAATTGTCTTATGATTCAAGGTCAAACTAATGTTTCAGAATTGTGGTTCACCAGCGCTGCATCGCGCGGGTACACCACTAGTATATATATATATATATATATATATATATATATATATATATATATATGTATATGTATGTGTGTATGTATGTATGATATAGGCATAATCAAATAAGAATTTTGTAATTGTGATAACCGTGAGATCCAATGTGAAACACTAATTTGAGATATTTAAGGATATTTCTTAAACAAGATAAAATGATAATTTAATAACTTTATTTGAACTCGTAAAAAGATATGATTAATTTTTTAAAGAAAATATTTGATTGATATTAATTACCTAATATATTAATCAGATAACATATATTGTCTTTTAAAAATGTTTGTGGATTCAAGTGTATCACAGTGTATTTTTGGCGTTTTATAAAATATATCACATCATGCATTTTGTTACTTTCGTTGCTTTAAAGTGTATCACAATGTATATTTTTGTTATTTTAGTTGCTTTATAGAAGTATCACGGTGTGCATATTGTATGTACATATGAGTATCACGGTGAATATCGTTTGTATGTATCTTTTTAACGATATTTTTAGGTATCACAGTATGTATATTGTGTTAATATGAAGTTCGTCGGAACATGATTCGTCGGAATAAAGTTCACGAGAGAGAGAGGAGCAAGGAGAGAGCAAAGAGAATATTTTTAAAATCTCTAAAATGTCATTAACTAATATATATATATATATATATATAGAGAGAGAGAGAGAGAGAGAGAGGKTGGTTATTATACAATCCTTGACATTTGTGCAACCAATACAACTCAATCTCAACCGTCCATTTCATTTGATTAATATGTATGATTTCCTAGAAGTTTTGATTGTTTCCTAATATAAAGTATTGATCATAATTAATGAACCATATTCATCTTCCATAAATAATCAAATCATTATAAATGAACTCTTATCATTTCCATAAATATCTCAATTTATTGGGTTGCATTGGTTGTACAAATGCGATAGGTTGTATTTGAAACAAACTCTCTTTATATATATGGGTCCGTTCAAGGAAGAATTGAGTAGTTTGTGGTAACCGTGAGATCCAATCACAACCACAAATCAATAGATAAATTAGGAAATTTATAATTTTGGTAATTTTGAATTAAAATTTTAATGCAAGGACATTTTAAGTATTTTTTTCTCCTCACTCCTCTCTTTTCTCTCCGTCCTCCGGTGATACCACTGTTGTATCTAAAAATATTGACTCTGTTAAACAAAAGATACAGTGTGATACCCAAGCATATATAAGATGCATTGTGATACCACTGTGTTACATCTCCGATCGACCATACAAACGACCTCAATGTGATACCCAAGCACATATATGATGCATTGTGATACCATTGTGGTATCACCGGAGGACGGTGACCGGAGTACGGTGGTCGGAGAGAGAAGAGAGGAGAGTTTTAAAATACCAAAAATGTCCTTGCATTAAAATTTTAATTCAAAATTACCAAAATTATATATTTCCTAATTTATCTATTGATTTGTTGTTGAGATTGGATCTCACGGTTACCACAAACTAATTAGTTCTCATTTGATTAAACCCTTATATATATATATTGTTTGCAAACCCTATAACATTCAAACACTTGCACCCCAATGGATCATTCTCCCTCACCACCCCATTGTAATCCGTTCTTCATACCTCTCATCGTCACCGTTGGCCCCTGTCATCGATCTCCCTCTTTTTGATATGTTTTCCTTGTCTTTGGACTCTCCCTCCTTTTGATATGTTTTCCTTGTCTTTGGACTCCCCCTCTTTTACAATAATTTAACATATAGATCAAAAAAGAGAGAAAATCGAAAAACAAAAAACAATCAAAAAAGGGAGATCGATGGCAATGGCCAACAACGGTGATGGGTTAGGCAATCTGCTACTCTTCATACCCCTCTCTACTCCTTATCCGACTTGCATTATAACTCAGAGGCGTTGTCTTTCTTAAGATAGAGGAACAAATGATGATGAGGCGGTGAAGGGAGTGAATGCGTTAAGTGCGAGGCGTTTGAACGATAAAAGGTTTGAGAATGCTAAATCTGATCTAAGTTTTTTTTTTCCGATTTTAAATCTTTCTAGCTAGTTACAATTAGTTTTTTATGGGGTTAAAAGAAGACAAATAACCAATTTCTAAAGTTCGATGCTTTATTTATTAATTTTTTTAAGAATTTAATCTTTTAAAATAGAAAAAGTTATTGGGTTTTTTTAAACTTTTCGCTGTAAATAATAACCAGAATATATATTCAACATTTGAATTTAAAGATGATGTACATGAATTTTGCAAGAATGTTTCATGCATCCTTTGCAATTTGTACACATTGAGATGAGCTTATTTTCATCCACTCTATGGTCATAAGCAAGGTCTTGCCAAAGGGTATTCAAATATGAGATGTCAAACAGGACATTAAAAACTTTATGGTTTAATTATACATGTTTTAGGGGCAGTTTACCAAACACTTATCCGATAAAAATCAACATTATTATTTACTTACGAGGTAAGATTTTAGTTAACATAAACCTCCATTGTAGATGTTCTTAAAATAAAGTGTTGTATTGGATATTTTTATCAATATTAATTGAACAAATTGTCTTATTAACACAAGTGTCCTAACAAAAAGATGAATTTATATGACATTTCTCAAAAGCGTTCTATAAAATTGTTAATATGATATTTTATGTCAAAAAGGTCCTAAAAACATGTTATAATGTCTAAAAGCGTCTTATAAAGTTATTATAACAGTTTATTATTTAGTCTTATAAACTTAAACTTTATAAAACACTATAATCTGCACTATATTATAAAGCATTTGACAAAAACTATTAAAAACCAATTTTATGTATAAATTACTGTTTATTAATGCATATTACTTAAAATTATAGATTACAAGTAAATTGTTCGTATTGTACAACTTATTAAAGCTCCATGTTTGAATTTGTGTAACTAACAACATATAAACATAATCAAATTTTGGATAAATATCTCTTTTTAAATATAAAAAATCTAAAATATATTTAGGATAGTCATTGAATTCAATATACTAAATATTATCTTTATAAAATAATTATATTATTAAACTAAAGATAAATGACTTYATTATTAAATCTAAATTAAATTATAATAAAAAATAGAATTACAAAAATTAAAAAAAAGAATTTTTAAATATTTAATTTGATTTCAAAATTTTATAATACCTTTAAATTTATATTTTATTAAAAAAACATTATCGTTTCTTCGGTACCACACAAAAAAACATAACATCGACGGAGACAGAATAAAATGAAACATTAAAATCAAGATGTATCTCACTGCATTGCGTGAATACTTTTCTAGTAACATTTAAATATTGCATGCGCCCATAAACCCGTTTTTTATTATAATGACCTAAAAAGATTGAAACATCGCTTAAATACATAACAGTTAAAATATGTTCATCAAGTACAAAGAAATAATTGATGTTGAACTTTTTTTTCTTTTTAAAGCCGATATCATTTAATAATGTGTTTTGTGACAAAATAAGGCCCATCATATTGAATTAGCAAAATATATTAAAAAATAAGTATTAAAATCAACGTTGATGAAATATTACTTAGAAAAATTAATTAAAATAACTATTTTTATTGGTTGGTTTCACCTCTTAACCATTTATTTATAAGGTTTATCAAAATAGCCTTAGGTCCTCAATTTTAATTATTTTTCTGCACATCTGGGTGAAAAATGTAAAAAAAATTGCGAACCTGGGCGAGAAATGTAATTATTTTTTGCCGACCTGGGTGAGAAATGTAAATTTTTTTGCTGATCGGGGTAAAAAATGTATTTTTTTGCATAGAAGGGTAGAAAGTGTAATTTTTTTATCTTTTAGCTGGATCTGCAATTACAGACGTTGATTTTTACGAACTTATAGCTATTTTGATAAACTTGAATAGCCCTATTACTTAAGAGCATAAAACAACGCGTGCATTCGAACATGAACAAAGAGTCTTTTATTTTTTTGACAATATTTCTATGTTGATGTCCCAAATTTATAATGAAATGTTTTTTCTTCATTTAAAAGTTTAAGTTAGTATAGTTTTTCAAATCTAACACTTTTTTTTACATTTATAATCCAATATCATTATTGTAAAACAGTAACTTAAAGAAATAAAAATAAATAAATCAATTTTCAAAAACTCAATTTAATGTCTATCATCTATACTATCTTATAAACCAGATTTAACAAAAATATTAAAAACAATTTTTAATGCACAAAGTATTATACATTTATGTACAAAGTCTTAAAAGTCTTAAAAACAACTCATAATGCATTAAATACTACTATTTTATGATTCAATTTTAAATCTCTTAATCTACAATTAAAATAACATATATTACAAGTTACCAATGCACATTATTATTTTTTTTTTTCATTTTCTCAAAATACTTTTGACACCTTTCACTCATGTCTTCACCCTCTCATACATTTATGTTTTCTCTCCATCCCCCAAGGTGAGATTCAAACTGATATTCACCATGAGTTATTAAAAGTTTTCTCATTCATCTCTCATTCAATTGCTCTAAAACTCTCGGTCTCGCTTTCAATCTCTTGATTCTTTGCTCTTGGTGTAAATCGAATACATTTGTGGAGTCGTTTAAATATGTTGGATTTTAAATATATTGGATTTTAAATTGTCATAATTTTTTTTTATCGATAGACTGTAATTGGAACCATAACTCTTATTTATTCAAATTGTATTAATATGTAAAGACCAAATGTAACTTATATCATCGTTAAATCTTCTCTAATAAAATCAATGAAACTTCAAAAATGTTAAAATTCACGGCTCTCGTCACATTGTACGGGATACACAACTAGTAAAACATCAAGCAAAAAGGTATAGTATTTTATTACATTAAGGAATATAAAAATACAGTATTTTTCTTTAGTTGTATAAAAATATTGTAAATTCAGTTGTAAAAATTCTCAAATTCCAAGAATACAACTTTTATAAAATATTAAATATGTACAAATTGCTAATACAATAGGAATTATGCTTTGTTAAAAGTTATTGGTTTAACTTTAAAAAAAAAAAAAAGAGTACGAAAATACATCCGTCGTGTATCCTTGATCAACGCAGTCTTATATGTTATGTTTCAATTCTCGATCCTTCTTCATGTTATTGCATATCTCGTTTGTACACGTCTTCTCTTTGTTTTCATTAATTTACCGTAACAGAAAATTAACTCGGATAAATCAAAACCGAAAGATAAAGCAGTGAGAGTAAAGCATTGCCTTAAAAGTTTAATACGTAGAATCCCAATAATTTTTCACATGACAGATTGGTTCTTTGAACAAAAGCAAACAAATATAAAAAGGGATGAAGCAACAATCATGAGATGCTTGAAATAAGGAGAAAATCCTCACATTGCATACAAAAAAGGGTCGAATAATGCGGATTGGATGAGCTCTTAGTTAATATGATTGTTGAATTTTATTAGTATATACATCAGACAATTACACTATCATATATGTTTTTCATATACACATATTTTCAATTTATTCATATCTCTATATAACTCATTCAGTAACTGTGAACATATATATGTATATTGAGAAAATTAACTGAATGTGATATACGTAAGAAATATGAATAAGTTGTATCAAATGGTTGATGATGGAAAAGAAATTATGAGTAAAGAAATAACATATTCAAGGTTACAAGAATATTTTAATATACCAAAGATCAACCCGACCAACTCGTACGGGTTGAGTTGGGTTGCACTTTGTTTTGGGTTGGGTTAAGATTTTTCCAAACCGCAAACATTGAGTTGGATTGTTCAAATGTCCCAAACCCGATCAACTCAACCCATAAACGCCCCTAAACAGGATGATCGGATAATCTCTTAACTAAATCGTTAAGCCACAACCAAATTACCTTATATAAGCTATACAACCTATTAAACATTCAATAGTTGGCTAATTGAATAAGCTCCTAACCAAGCCATTAAGCTACAACCATCAACATAAGCTCTTAACTAAGCCATTAAGCTACAACCATCAACATAATAACCATGTACGAACAACCGTCGATACAAGTACATGATAATACAATTGCATACATTTCTTCCACAATTACAAATTGTATGATTCCAAATGAACCTTTTACATAATTTGAACCAAAATAAATGCATTATACAAATCACACCCCCACAACTCTTTCCAAATTCAAAGAATGATGATTTAATCTTTGTTACAAACAAACAAAAATAGACACATGCCAATGCCAATGCCAATGMCATCACATCCCACTCGAGATCTTTGATCATTATCAAGTGAGACCCCAATTCTTTTCTATGTTTCAATCTCTTTGTGTTTGAAAAGCAGCCATCTTTCGCTACATTTCCAAAGTGAGGTGTATAAGACCATTTCTTCACAAATGAATAAAACAAATATCATCCCAAAATCTAATGGCTTCGCTAATCTAACAACACCCACAACATCTCCCACCACATTTGGATAACATAACCAAGAAAATAATCAAGAAAACCACAGCCGATAGCCCGATTGCCACACCAAGAACAACCTTATTTGGTCCATGATCGCCATTGTCTCTATTTTTCTTCTTTCCATCATCACCACCATCGTCATAGTCACCGCTGCTTATGTCATCTACCGACGACGACGGCTCATCGGCGGCCGGAGGTGGCAAAATGGGGCGGCCATGTTTATCACAAGGAGCAATCCCAAGCTTCACTTTTTTCGAGATAGTAGAGTGATTGTAACACATATTGTCATTTCCACCTATTTTGAACACAGCCAGTCTCTTGATGAACGACGCATTAAATGGCATAACTCCATGGAAATTGTTCTTCTCGAGATTCAAGTACTTCAACCCCTTCATACCAGAGATGGATCTGGGGATTGTACCGTTTAACTGATTTGAACCCAGATCCAAATGCACTAATCTTGAAATGGTGGATATAGATCCGGGAATCGGGCCGGATATCGAATTAGATGATAAAGAAAGATTTTGAAGAGAAATCAAGTTACCGAATGAAGTGGGTATTTCTCCACTGAGTTGATTTGAAGATAAATTCAAGAATTTAAGACCTTCCAACAGTGTTAATGATGTGGGTATGGTCCCATTGAGTTTGTTGTCGGAGAAATCCATGTGGGTGAGCTTTGGATTCCAATGTTTTGGGATTAATCCAGAGAGATTAGTGTTGGAGAGGGTTACAGTGTTTAAAGAGTTCATGTTAGAGGTTATAATGTGGATGCCGGAGGCTTTGATGTTGTCTCCGGAGATTTCGAGTTCAGTAAGGTTACTGAACCGGCTGAGGAAAACTCCGGTGAGGCGTTGGAGGGAGTTAATGGAAGTGAAAGATCGGAGATTGGTGGAGAGGGAGGTGGGGAAATGGACGATGGGGACGTGGCAGTTGAGAAAGGTGAGGGAGGTGAGTGTAGAAAGGGAGGAGAGTGCGGTGGTGGAAAGGGAGAGGTCGTCGGAGCAGTTGGTGAGACGGAGGGAACGGAGGTGGCGGAAGGGAGTGGCGGTGTCGCAGACGGTGGCGTTATGGAAAGAGGGTTGGGTGCAAGGGTCATGGGTGGTTGGAATGTAGAGAGATTGTAAGGCTCTTACTTGCTTTGGGTCAAGGGTTGAGGATGTGGAGGAAGACGGTGGAGATAGGGCTGGGGAGGCGGCGGTGGCAGCGGCAGACGGCGACGGTGCAGTAGCGGCGGCGGCGTGGTGGAGGAGGAGGAGGAGGAGGAAGGTGGAGGTGGAAAGTTTCATTGGTGGTGGAGTGTGTGAGAGAGAGAGTGAGTAGTTTGGAAGGGTAGTAATGGGAATCGATGTGTATTGAAGTTTGTACTAAAAGAAGGCTTCTTGGGGCAGGGATGGGGCAGGAAACAAACAAAGTGTAAACAAAGAAAGGGGCAAGGTGTTGAAAAGACTGTTCTGCCCTTCTGTTACTATGCATTTATCATTTCGACCGTTGGATGCTATCAACTTGTGTTATTTAGGTTGTGAATCTCAATTGTAATATAGTATGCAAGATTTTATTATGAATTTTAAAGAGTAAATTATGTTTTCTGCATGTAGTGTTTGTGATTTTTCTTGAAATTGGATTTTAGAATTTCTGTATTCTAGATTTTTTTGGAATTTTCGTTGTTAATTCTATTAACAATTGTTAAGTTTTCGGTTAACTCTAATTAAATTACAGGTATTTTAGACATTTTACGTTAACATATATATATATATATACATATGTGGAGGATTTAAAAAAAATAAACCCGCTCTCATCCCTCTTTTTCTTCCCTAGGATATCACCTCTATCTCCATGTCTTCTCAAAGGTACATCTCCCTTTACCCTTGTCGAGCTCCTCCCTGCCTCTTCCCGTTGTATAGCTACCATAACTACACTTGAAGTGTTCTTACTCGATGGGTATTGTTGTTGAGGCGACACAACCATTGGTGAAATTTTTCCAACTAAACACCTAAATTGTAAATATTGGTGTTGGGTTGGAGAAGGGTTGTCGTTATGTCCATTCGTATATCCATGTTCTTGATTTGGTCAATATTATGATGGTCCCTGCTTGGGCGCATGATTCTCATCTCCTTTATTGTCTGTTGTTGAGTTATTAATCTTTATAACATCAAGAGTTTCAATGTATCACTATACCTTTTCAGTAAACAATAGAAAGTAAAATATTTTTTTCTACAAATTTACATCTCCACTGATTGCAAATTTGAGAGATGTTGGAGTATGTAAATAGGTTCTGATCTAGGTATATCCAATCCGCCACTATCAACCTTTCTAACCCAGCGTTCATTTCTCTCTCTCTCTCTCTCTCTCTCTGTTATATGTTTTTTAACAACCATTCCCCCACTCAATTTTTCAACACAAAAGGTTCCATCATAGATGACCACTTGAAGCCTGTCAAGGAGAGGGAAACACAACAACAACCACTACATGAAGCATGGTGGGATTAACGAAGATGGAGAGAGGCATGGTCGGATGATTCCTAAGTAGGGACACCGACGGCCCCATATTTTTATGACACAAAAGAAATGTGTGTTATATACATACAAGGAAGGGTTCAAATGAAAACACCTTCATTTTAAGAAAAAAAAACGAGAAATACTTTTTATTGTAGTCAATTGCATGTGATACCATATTCCCATCACATATGATAAACATGTGATACTAAATCAAAGATGAGGACGACCTTTGGCGCTACCTACGTTGCGGTCCAAGTGGCATGCACACCACTAGGTCCTCTCACGTGTATTATCACATGTGATAATATAATTCATCATATGTGATACTAAATTAAAAATGCATATGAAGTTTTGTTGCAACCTAGGTCGCGGGTCAAGTCGTTTGCATATCACCAGGCTCTTCCACGTGTATTATCATATGTGACAAGGGTGTTCTCGCGTTTTTACAAAATGGAGGTGTTCTTGTTTGAACCTCCACCTATATATAGGGAAGGGTTCAAAATGACATTATGAGAATGTGAGAAGATATCTTAACCACAAGAAGCAGGGGTCTTAGCAACGACTTTTGACATCACTAAAAGTGAATTTATCGTCATAAACGGTTTATAGAGACGACATGTCGTCACAATAGCTTCTTGTTGAAACATGTCGTTGCTAAAGGCGCGTTACTAAAACTCATTTTTCGATTATAAGAGGAAAATATGTAAATATAGGCAAAATTGTGACTAATTTAATAAGCCTAAGAAACTGAGGGGGCATTTGAAACACTTGTATAATTAAATCACTAATTCAAACCACTAATCTACTCCTTTTTCAAAAAATTACCCATTTCTTTTTTAAATAAAAATTAGATTATGTAATAAATTAGCAAAGATTGTCACTAGATTAACAATATTATTAACAATTTATGATGAGAAAAGAGAGAATACGTAAAGATAACAAATACACTTATTAAAGTATATCGAAGTGTATTTTTACTTTTACATAATGGGGTTTTTATACGACATAATCTTTATCCATATATATGGTTTAGATAGGTAATTATTGAGCAACTTGATTGTGGATTGGACATGAGAGTTGAAATTATAAGTCCCATACTTCTTTATAATACATTTTATTTAATATTACAATACTCCCCTGCTAAAGAAAATCTAATGGGAAAATTTTTTAGCTAAGGGAAAAAGAGTGGAGCTGGTAGTTGACTCCCCCTGATGTTGACATCCATGAATCATCACTTGTTATGCACGTGCCGCATATTGATACTGTAAATGTGTTTTCTGAAAGTTGCAGTAGCTAGTAGGCATTTGCCTTTGTGAAAAGATCTGATGCGCTGTTACTCGATTGAATATATTTCTTTACAATCTGATTATCTTTTATAAGATCCTGAGTGTGTGAGAAGAACCTTGGAGGTATGTGTTTTGTCCTGTCACTTTTGATATCTCCTTTTTTTCATTTATGTGACACATGCGGTGTTATCTTCATAAATTAAAGTTGGAGTTTTGTCTTTCTCTAGTTCGCACGAAGTCAAGATGAGTCATGTCATTGACCTCAACCAAACACACTCTCTACTAGCTTCATGGAGTGCAACAACTTCAGCATGATTTGGATATGTGGCAACAAAAGTTTGCTTCTGAGTTGCGCAAGAAAATAGCAGTACCCCCGTTCATGAACACATATCCAATTTGAGGTCTAGCTTTATGAGTATATGACAAATAACTTGCATCTGCATAACCGATCAAACCTTTTTTTTTTTGAATTGTTAGAATAAAATAGATCTAAATCAATAGTTCCTCGAAGGTATTGGAATATGTGTTTGGGAGATGAACTGAAGCTTTGCTAACAACTTCACTACAAAAGAAATGTCAAGTCTAATACAATAGTAAGATATATAAGAGCACCAATTGCACAGAGGTATGGTACTTCTGGACCAAGAACCTCTTCGTTTTCTTCACAAGGACGAAATAGATCGTTGTCAATATTGAGTGATCTAACAACCATTGGAGTGCTTAAAGGATTTGCTTTGTCCATATTGAAACGTTTTAAGACCTTTTCAACATAACCTGATTGATAAGTATTCCATAATGCATATGTTCAATATGTAAAACCAAGAACAATATTTGGTTTTTCTAATGTCTTCCATTTCAAAGTCTTCCTCCAAAAGCACAATCACTTGATGGATTTCTTTATTTGTCCCAATGATATTTAAAGCATCAACATAAATGGCTATTAATTATTACATATCCAGATGTTGTTTTCTTAATAAAAACACATGGACAAATAAGATTATTTGTATAACCTTTACTTATCAGGTAATCGCTTAAATGCTTATACCATATGCGTCTAGATTGCTTTAACCCATATAAATATCTTTGTAACTTGATTGAATACATTTCTTTGGGTTTTGTACTTGATGCTTGAGACATTTTAAATCCTTCGGGGATTTACATATGGATATCACTATCAAGTGACCTATACAAAGTATGTTGTAACAACATTTATAAGACGCATCTCTAAATTTTGTGTGACTGCTAGGCTGATTAAATATCTAAAAGTAATTACATCGATAATAGGAGAATATGTTTTCTCATAATCAATTCTTGGTCACTGAGAAAAACCTTGAGCTACAAGTCGAGCTTTATATCTCATAATTTCATTTTTCTCATTTCTTTTCCGTATGAAAATCCATTTGTGTCCCACGGGTTTCACGGCTTTAGGTATGAGAATAATAGATCCGGAAACCTTTCGCTTAATGCCATTTAACCTAGTCCTATCTACTTTGACATTCAGTGACAGACATTGGTTCAGGATCATCATTTTGAACCACAATTTGCATGGACACAAATTGAGTTCCAACTCAGTTCGCCCTGATCATCCAACCACAATTTGCATGGACACAAACTTCCTTGTATCTACCATTTGATGATCTATTGAGTTTAAACTCGAAACATACTTGAATAAACTTCAATCTCGGGGACCATTTCACCTTTGGTGGTAAATATTTCTCAAGGGATGATGTGTGTAGTGCGATTGTAGTTGAGCAATTCATTGTGTATGATCGTGGGTTATGGTGCTGGGAATATAAGAGGCATACCTTAAAAATCATTGATCATCAAAAAAGATGTACTAGAATGACGTATTCTTCATTTTTTTTTTCATCTACTCCTCCTCCTCCTGCTCCTTTTCCTTCTTCTTATTCACCATCTTCATAATATGGAACATCAACCTTTTTGTACCTAATTTAAAAACATCGACACCTTCTTAAGTTTCATCGGTGTCGGAAATTCAGTCGTTGTTATAACCATAGGTAGGTTCCTCTTGGGACACAAACTAGGCATATACGAAACCTCATCTTGAGGTAGAAACTGTTGTTGATCAGAAAATGGAGGTTGATTCTAAGGGACAGACTGTTGTTGACTCTGATAAATAGGTAAAAATTGTTATTAATTAGAATATGGAGGTTGATTCTGAGGAACAAATTGTTGTTGACTCCATTAGATAAGTTGAGCCTCGTTGATTGGAGGGGAGTAAGAACCTCCTCCGACATTACTTCCTCTACACGATTGAAAATCGCCACTAATAGAAGGTTTGACCGAAAAATAAAGTGTAGCCAGTCTTCTTGAATTGGAATCAAAATCCATAGACCCGATAACATCATTGCCATCGCCTAACTCCCAAACACAACCATCATACATGTATGATAACCTAAATACACCTTCTATTTCAATTTTTGTGCAACATAGTTAACCAACCTGTCATCATCATTGACATTAACATTTTTAGGAAAACCCTAG